ACATCAGACTGCACTACCTTTCTCTCAAAGGATGACCCAACAGGTCACAGGGTTGTCTGGTAATAAATAAATGCATCCTATTCTTCATTGTGAGAGCCAGTTTGGTGTAGTAGTTAAGGCATCAGGCTAGAAAGCAGGAGACTCTGAGTTCTAGTCCCGACTTAGGCACAAAGCCAGCTGGGTGGCCTTGGGCCAGTCCCTCTCTCTCAGGCCCAGAAAGGAGGCCAGGGCAAACCACTTCTGAAATCTTGCCAACAAAACTGCAGGGACTAGTCCAGGCAGTCACCAGGAGTCAACACTGACTCGAAGGCACCAAAATCATCATCATCATCATCTTCATCATCCCCACTGTAATTGAGACACAGAAATTTGGACTAGATGAGCCATGGAGCTGACCCACCCAGGCTCATCTGATGTCCTTATAGCTGATTGATCTTTTTCCTTGGAAATGTTTTACAACCTGCCAGTTCAGCTTGGTTGTTGAATGATCTAGCTGGCCTTGGCTGATCTTGCAAAAGCTAAGCAGGAGTGAACCTGATTATTACTTGGATGGGAGAGCAGACTAAAGGTAATGCTAAACTCCTTCCATCTGGCTGCCAAGAAAGTTACAGAGATGCAGCTACGTATCCAGAAGTTGCACTCAATTTAAATAAGTTTTTATATATTAGAGCTGTGCAATGCTTTAGATTTGACTCAGAAAGAAGTGCTTTGAGATCTCGGGCTGTGACTGTAGCAGCTGTGTATGACTCATTAAAGCAGCCAGATCTCTTTCCAGGATTGTGCAAAAGAGGCTGAGAACATATGCAGACACAGAAAGAAATACCCCAGCCCACCACAAACAAAACAAACAAAAGAAGCTTCTCACATTTAATGTTGATTTTGGCCTTTCCTGTGCTCAGCCCTTTCTTTGTTCCTGTTTATGCTTGGCCTGAAAAATTCCTGCAATTAAAAATTAGGATAAATGCTATGGTAGGTACCGTATTGGGGAAAGATGCAGTAAAGAAAAACATGCAGGTTGCTTCCAGCGGAACTCCTGGTTGAAGATAATCTCATGTTTTGGTGTTCTGGCTGAGGAATGCAATTAGCCCTGTTGCTGGAATGTTGGGCAAGAGCCTTCTTTTTTCTTTTCTTTTTCTTTTTTAAACTTCTTAAAAAAAAACCACTGAGTTTTACTTGATTAGACCTTTCAAATACATGTTTTTTCTACCTCCAGCATCACACTTCTTGTGACAAACACCCAGCTGCAGGGCCGCTGGACTTATCTGCTCCATGGGCAAACAGGATTAGGTTCCTAAAATGATTAAGGTGCCTGAGAAGTCCAGATTTCCAGCCTCCAGTTCCCATGGAGATGGTTTGAACGTTGCCTCTCGATGCAGCGAATCAATATGTTTGCGAATTTTGTGGGCAGGAGGAACTTTGCCCAGTGATATTGCCCTCATGCGCGTGTGTGGGTTTTTTCCCTTCAGTGACTCCCTTGCTGATTCCTTCTCCTTTCTTCTTTTTTGCTTGGCAGGATTCCAAGAAGCAAATTGAAAAGGCCTGGAAAGATTATGAGACCAAAGTGTGAGTAACCCCTGCTGCCTCTGGCAGGAGCAGGCTCATTCTTCCATCTTCTCCTAAACAAAAGTGTTTTGTTGTAGACTAGCAGTAAGGGAGGTGGTGGGGTTTGGGTCAACCAGCCAACGAGAGTGTCCTTCATAATATGCCTCTGTGCTGTCCAGTATCTTCTGGCCATGGTGGAAGAGGGTAGGCTGTGAAGTGCTTTGGATTCCAAAAACAAACAGTGCTTTGGAGGAGCTCACCTAATACCTGTCAGTCACTCCTTGGAGCAGCTGCATCTTTTTCTGGGGTTGCATAGTTGTCTTCTGCGGCTGCGGCGCAATCCCTGGGAGGCAGCCGTGCAATCCTCAGGAAAGAGGCAGCTGCTATAAAGAGTGGTTGGTGGGTCTAGGTGAGTGTCCACAAAAGGGCATTCACTTCACTCCCTTTTTCTCTTTGAACCCAAAGCAGCACGCAGCCCAAGGGGAGTGCATTGTTTGCATGCTGTACCTGGGATCTTGAAGTTCAGCTGGGAAAGATAAGTGGTCTAAAACCTGGGAGAGATGCTGCAACTCACTATGGACAGGTCTGAACAATATGGGTTGAAGGTCTGATTTGGTATAAGCAGTTTGCTATGTTCCTGATGAAGCTGACTCTTTAAGGCAGTGCCTCTCAACCTTGGCAAGTTTAAGATGTGTGGACTTCAACTCCCAGAATTCCC